AAAAAAGATAGTAGGAAGGGAAAAATGAAGGGGAGGAAATTGGAGGGGGAGACGAACCATGAGAGACTATGGACTCTGAGAAACAAACTGAAGGTCTAGAGGGGAGGGGGGTGGGGGATGGGTTAGCCCGGTGATGGGTATTAAGGAGGACACGTGTTGAATGGAGCACTGGGTGTTATACGCAAACAATGAATCATGGAACACTACATCAAAAACTAATGATGTCATGTATGGTGATTAACACAACATAATAAAATAAAAAAAATAAATAAAGTGAAAGCAAAACTTTAAAACTCTTGGAAGGAAATATAGGATATCTTCATGAGCCGGTAAAGCTAAGAGTTTCTTAAGTAAGACACAAAAAACATTGGGCAATACCTATTCAAGGGGAGGATGTGGGTATTCTACCATTTAGCAGTTCCAATCCTGGGCATATGTCATAGAGAAACCCTCATACACCTGGGGAAATTCCAACATGAATGTCCATAGTAACATTGTTTACGATAGCAGAAGTTGGGAGCAAACTAACATGACTTTTTTTTTTTTTTTTAAGATTTTATCTTTTTATTTACTTGAGAGAGAGAGCACGTGAGTGGGAGGAGGAGCAGAGGGAGAGGGAAAAGCAGACTCCCTGCTGAGCTGGAATCAGGACCTGAGCCAAGGCAGATGCTTAACCGCTTAACTGCTTAACTAACTGAGCCACCCAGGCGCCCCCTAACATGACTTTAGTAGAAAAACAGAAATATCTGCGGCTTCTTTAGTAATAGAATGCTCGCTACACCTTTCCCAAACATAATGAGAAGTGACAAAAGCAGGTTGCAGAAAAGCACATACGACTAAGATATAAAAAATTAGTAATTGAAACATTTTTTTTTTTTTTAGTAATTGAAACATTTTAAAAGATATATACATATGTAAGGGAAATATAAAGAAATACAAAGGAATGAGAAACACCAAAATCAGGTACTGGTTTTCTCTGAGGAGGAGGGAAGGAAGGAGTAAAACTGTGATGACATACACAGGGATCTTTTAATGTACTCATAGTATTTTATTTAATGAGAAAATTAATGTTTGAAAGGTGACTGAAGGAAAATACAAAGCTTTTATGTTAATATTATAAACTGAAAAATAAAACATTCACTAAAGTTTATCTTTAGAGACTAAGAAAGGTGAGGGGGAATTTATGATGAGCACAAAACTGTCATTAACTTATGGTCATAACTCAATTTCACAGAGCATTGCCCTGTTTGTTCACCCACCTTATACACCAGATGAGGTTCTAAATGGTTTTAGGCTGTTTGTAAAAATTGAATCCATTTTCAAAGGATAAACATTTATGATCTTTTGATAACAAAGATATTACAAATAAATTTTCCTAAGTACTAAAGGCAATTTGAAAGTGGAATTCCTCCTTTTCTGGCATAATAATAAATCTTATCTAATACAAACCAATGAAATAAGGGTGGAGCCTTATAATTTACTAGTTTGAAGGTTGATACTACTCTGAATATGTAAATTCTGGTATGTTAGTTAAAGGGTCAGTCACAATACGTTGTTACCATTTTTTCCCTGAAGTTATGATAGACTTCACAGCTCATATTCTCTAAATTTAACATTAATTAAATATATATATTAGTCTTACAAGTCTCTCTCTTGAAACTGGGTTCTGTACCTTATTCAACACTAACATTTCTGCTTGTCGTCTGCATCATAATGAAAAAGAGCCAACAATTTTCCTAAATCCTGGTTTCTTTGTATCTCACTAACAATTATCATTATCATTATTTAGGAGTGGGGAGAAGTGTGTATCATACACATGGAAGACAGGATATCACAATAACAAGATCTTGAGCATGTTCATGAAACTTGGGCAAAGCATATGTCACATCTAAGTCTCATTTCCTCTGAGCCTGACTTGATAGGGTTGCTATAAGGTTTAAATAGGACAAGGCTCATAGCACTCAGCACAGTGTCTAGAAGACAGTAAGCACTCAATAAATGCTAACAGATGGTGGGCATGACAGTGAAAATGCAGCACGTATAAGGAATTGACTCCAATACTGAGATTGGATGATTTTACCTTTTGAATAAACAAGTGAGATACATAGAATAGTAATAAATAGACTTATAATGAACATTCATCTTTCAACCGCCTCTCAACATACTTACCAGTGTACGATTGGTGACTTTAGGTGACATTGCCACTGAAATGATTCAGGACGTTGACAGGACCTTGACAAGCCGGGGCAACCCCTTAATGATGCGGAGAAGGCCAGCTTTAGTGTTTGGTCCATAAAATACACGCTTTTATGTCCCTTCCTATTTGATGAGAAAGCCCACTATTTCTGCGGGAAATTTACTTCTGATCTACCCCTGGTAACTTTTACAGGCAGGTGCACCCAACCCTCAGCTGCTGTAAGAATTGGTTGCTGAAACTCACAGCTGCACCTTACTTCAGAGAATGTCTCTCAGCCCAAGAGGCAGTGTTGCCCACAGACACAGACACATAGGAGATTGAGGTTGGGAGAGGAAGCCTCCGGTAACCAGTGACTGCTGATGGGGAGATACAAGCCCAGCTCCCTTGCCTCAGGACAGCTGACTCAATGGAGCCCTTCTTCCCCCCCCCCGCCCCAATAGTGATGACTCTTGTTTTATAAACATTTTAAAATAGAAATGTTTGTCCCTTAGTCCAAAATTTTGTCTCAACAGAATCTTAGGATAATTTTCAGTTACCAGATTTAGTCCTCAACTGATCATTTCCTTTCTTTCTGATTCAATCTTTTTTTTTAAAATATAAATTCAATTAGCAAACATATAGTACATCATAAGTTCCAGTTATAAGAGTTCAATAATTCATCAGTTGCATATAACACCCAGCGCTCATCACATCATGTGCCCTCGGGGGAATGGGGTAATTCAATGGAGCCCCTCTTGTTCCAATTCTTTCTTCTGAAATCAGGCTAAGCATAGGCTGCAGCTAGATACACATCTTTGCCCAACTTCTACCCCTGTGCTATCCGCTTCCTCATTCTTACAGGTTTTTTGTTTTTGTTTTTTTTTTTTCCTGCAGAGCCCCCTCAACAAATCCCTCACACAAGAATTCTAGTCTCAAGCTCAGCTTCTGGAGGACCCAACCTAAGATACCTTCTGAGTATGTCTATTTCTGCAGTTATGTTACCATTAGGAGAGATTTTTCTATTGTTTTTCTTCTAGACAAATTCACAAAAACTTTTAATACCTTGTGGTTTTGGTTTTCTAGACCTGTATATTTATTTAGATCTTGGAGGTTAGTAACCATGATAGCTTACTGCACCTCTTTTAGATCTATACATATTAAAGACAAGAAACCAAAACCAAAACAAAACAAACAAAAACAAAAAAACCACAAAAAACACACAAAAAACACAAACCTCTCGTCCCCTGAGGCATGTGGGTGGCAACAGCATTTCAGTGCTTTTCTTAACACAGCTTCTACCATATAGGGTGAAGCTCTAACAAGCATATCATGTTAACTAAAGAACAATAACCTCAATTTCACCCTACCTTAAAAAGTTTTACTTTCAATACCGCTCCTACAGAGGTGATGAAGAGTCAAGCTTCCGTATCTGACGGCCTGTGTAAGATCATGAGTTTGAAAAGGAAGAGATAATTTACATGCCTGAATAAAATTCTTCATGAACTTAATTGAAGTTTTTGAAAAATATTACATCATTTCAAAGATCTGTTTCTAAGAACTGATATAAGAAGGTGGTCATAGACGGTATTTCTGTCTTCTTCTTTGGTAGTAAGAACCTGTCTGCCAATAAATAGCCTGTATCAGCTATTGAATATTATTCTCAGCTGGGCAAATCCCAAACCATAATTTGACTTTAAATTTCTATTCCAGGTCATGGCATTTGCATCCCATCAGGTGCTGAGGAGTTCGTGTGCAGCAAGCAGCCTTAGTTTTTTATGATTACATTCCTCCTAGACCTCTCAAGGGCATTTGGTACTTCTAACAGAAATGCAATCTGGCTGTCCTAGATAGTAAATGAGGTTTGTCCATCACTCACCCCCATGAAAAGGTTCCTCATTATTGGCAAGTTGGAGAGCTATAGTGTGGTCTGTGCTTCATCTGATTTATTTCCCATGATAAATGGCTGACATTACAAAAAAATGGAAGAATGTATGTGTGAGAGGAAATGGGGAGAGAGTCAGGGAAGGTTGGAGGAGCCCATCAGAGAGTCTGACCCTAATGTAGAGGGGGTGGCGAGGAATGTTGGGAATAAACATCTCAGAGTACTATGCAGGGTAAGGAAGTTTTGGCAAGGCAGTCGGGGAGTCTTCAAACCACAGCCTGCCACCTGAGGTCTTCTGTATCTTTCAGGAAAAGGACTGCCGTGCTTAGTCATTGGCTAGGAGCAGTCTCTAGGAAGCCTGGTGTTGGCATAACTGTGGAAACAGGATTCAGAGTGTAGAAGGCAGGACCTTTGCTGAGTTAAGCTTCCCATAGTTGGGGGTCTGTGAGGTGTAGTATTCTCCTCATGCCAAATGCACCCTACCGTTTTAAGACAATGGAATGAGAAAAGGAAGATAGAAGATAGAAATGGGTTGTAGTTTGAGGGATGTTTGGATTCAAGGCAAGGCTTTCTGTTGTTTTTTGAATGAGAAGAACTTCAGTATGTTGTAAGCCTAGAGGAGGGAATCTGCACAATGGAAGAAGTTAAAAAAAAAAGGAAGAGAAGAAGGGAATGGGGGAAAAGTTGGGCAGGGACTTTGTGTGTGTGTTCGTGTGTGAGAGAGAATTAGTTAATTGTGAAGGAAGAAGATTTCAGAGAAAGAAAGAAGAAGAACTTGGATAAAGGTAATGGCTTTGAGGAGTGACATCTTATTCCTTGGGACAATGTCTGAACATGGGTTAAGGTTAAACGTTGTTGGAAGTTGAAGGGAATTGTGCTTGGTTATTTCAACTTCATTCAAAATAGGAAGAAAAGCATGAGGGACACTAATGGAAGGTTCAGTCTTGAACAGGAAGTATTCCATCCTCTGAGGCTGAAGCAAAAACAGGTAAGATTGGGCTTAGAGAAAGACTCTGCAGATGTGGGACCAAATTATGGGAGAGAAAGTTTGATGACCTCAATTTCTTGATGAAGTAGGAGGCGAAGTTATCTGCTGAAGGTATTATTTATTTGTAGCTCTTCTCATGTGACAAAATTCCATACATAAAACTATAACAGAAATAATATTTAGTATATTAAAATTAATATGTCAAATATGTCTTTTATATTAAGATGATTATCTATTACATAAATCTTTTGTACGCATGTCTGTGTCTGTTTCTTGGTGTATAGCCCAAAACTCTAAAATATTCTCTTGGTTTAATTTGGAATTTTAAAAACTGATAGTGTATTGAATTTATGTTTTTCTCAATCAGGAAGTAATAACTGGAGATATACTGTCAGTGTATTATGTATATTTGCTACCAAGTTTAACAAAATCAAAAATACTTTTGAACCATGTAATTTATCTATTAAAATAATTTCATCATATTAGCATTTATTGGCTTAGCCTATCAAAAAGTAGACATCAAAGTATTTCATAATTGGAGGGGGACTTTGACATCATTGGTTTCTAATGTGGGGGCTTAGACTTCCAGACTCTATAAATTGAGCAATAAAGGTTGATGGTTTCTTTTCTTTCTTTCTTTTTTTTTTTTTGACGATCTATTTTCAAATTTTAACACACCAAATGGAAATCACACTTTACCCATATGAAGGCTGAGGTTACAATGATTTGAAATGATTTCAATTCCGTGGGCCACTCTTCAGAAGCTCCAATGGGCCTTTGCAATATTAAAATATGGAAAATGCATTAATCATTATTTAATCAATGAGTTTTAAAGATACACAAAGGTTTCTGAAATATGGGATTTGGGGTTGGGGGAAGGATTGTAGAAGTTTGAGGTAACTGGTCATAAAAATGTTGGGAAAAACTGATTTTGTCTAATCCTGTAATTTGCAGATGAGGAAACTGGGAGGTTACCCAATATCACATCATGGTTCATTAGCAGCAGAGCCGGCTTTAGGATTAGACTATTCTTGAAGTTGTGAAAAAATTACCTAACATGCCATTTTCTTGGGTGTTAGGGTTTTGCATTTTGTATCATGGTCTTTAGTGTTCTTAGCATTTGGAATCCAAATGCTTCACATTTTGTTTGGAGTTGCTTTGGGAAAGAGTATGTATGAGTAGGAAACATTCTAGTCCAAACAATTAGGCCAACTTTCCAGTAAAGTGGTTAAAAAAAAGTTCCACAGAAGTAACTGAAGAGCAAAAACCTTCAAAAGAGTCTTCATAGTAAAGAGGTGCCATAAAAGCCTAATTAATTTCAAAGTCCATCTTCCATTCTTCATAATTTTAGGGTAATCCTCATTCTTATCTACTCTAGTTCCAACAGTACTTTAAACAGAGCACATGATTAAACTGTTAGCGGAAGAATCTGCAAAAAGAAAACTGATTTTTGACTCTTCTACAGTTTCAATCTTAAGTGTGCACACCAAATGCATACATTCTTATCAAATACTTAACATATATTCACAATTAACAAACAGGGACAATCTTTATACACAAGTTCGGCTACCAATGTAATTTTTAAAACATTGATCCCACCAGCAAGAGAGGAGACAGTTGTGCCCCTTTAAAGATAGATAATTTGAATAAAGAATATAAGATACAATCATAATTAGAGGTTCAGAAAATAGTTTTCCTTCTTATAGAATGTTTTAGTATTTTCTTCCTTTTATTTTTTTTAATTTATCTTTTGACAGAGAGAGAGACAGTGAGAGAGGGAACACAAGCAGGGGGAGTGGAGAGGGAGAAGCAGGCTTCCCGCCAAGCAGGGAGCCCGATGTGGGGCTCGATCCCAGGACTATGGGATCATGACCCGAGCCGAAGGCAGACGCTTAACGACTGAGCCACCCAGGCTCCCCTTATTTCTTTATTCTTCCTCCTCATATTTCTTTAGACAACACAGTCATTTCTTCTCATTTTTTTTTTTCTTTTTAGGGAGGGGATGCTGTCTACTGATGGTCTAAAAGAAGCGCCTTCATAACTGCAGCTGAGGCAGAAATGGAATATTTAGTAATTCTTACATCTCTTCGATGCAGTCTTCCAAGATGTTATGATCACTTTCTAAGTCCAAAGTTTCAAAACTTCATAAAGATAATCAGAATTGTATAACAAATGGTAACAAGTAGTTGTGTGCATTCATTTTCTATGATATCCAATCACATGTCCATTAAAACTCAGACTTCGTTTTGGCATCAAATGTACATAACAGAATGAACAAGACCGAGACCTAGTCATTGTCATAGATGCAACCTGAAAAAAAAAATACAAATTTCAATAGAGTTATACAAAACACATAGCTTCTAAGTGTTCCAAGGTTAGAAACGTGGGTGATTCACACTCTCCCAGTTTAGGATTAAAAAAAAAATGTAGAATTGGCTCACTTTGTGAAAAAGTAGTTACATGGAAGACCATATATGTATTTAACTTTCATTGCTCAGTATTTAATTCTAATGAAGTTTCTAGACAGATTTATTCTTTATCAAAATGAGACTCAAGATTATTTTATCTGGCACTTAATTAAACATACTTTTTGGTAGTTATCCTAAATGAGATTGAAGATATTAAATATGAATAAGAACCATAATTTTAAAAGGAAACTAAAAGGCCACATGAGTAACTCTATGTGCCATTTCAGATGAGATTAATTTTTTAGATTATAATTTGTAAATATGTGATGCTGAAAGAATACTAGTGAGTATTATAGGTTATGAAATAAGTACCTACTAATTGGTCAAGTATACATATTTTTGTGGATGAAAGTAATTTGTATTAAGATTAATGGTATAATGAAAAATTCACTATTTTCATACTTCTGTTTTCAAAGAAAATAAATAAGATTCTTCCTTGATTTCCAGTCATGTGCAAAAATAATTTTCTTAAATTATACCAGAGCATTTACCTTTCCTAACATTTTCAAGTGATTCAAATTCTGATCAGATTGGAAAGTTCTAATTAATCCAGCAAGCTATTTTTAGTATTTGTAAGAGCAGTAAATTCACTGTTAATTGTTTTCGGTGGTGGGTGCCATGTGAGACTTACCATCAGCAATATCATCATAGATCTCTCCATCACTGTAAATGTAGAAAAAAATTTTTATTTTAAAGAAAATATCTTCTTAACATTAAGGCAATATTTAGATTAAAAAGTTAGTAATATGATTTTATGGGACACAATTAAGCATTTAAAGGTGAGAAGTTAAATGTGAATTTATAAGTGGGAAGAAATTTCATGCTCATCTGCATCATCTTTTATTGGTTTAACCTAATTCTCTGTTCTATTCTAAAGTAACCAAAAAACCCACAACTTATTCCATATCATAGACATATGGAATAGTGGAAACATGCCTCAAGAGCATACACCATGCTTTATTCACCTTTAGATCCAACCGTGAGCCTAGGACAGAGCTGTATGTTGTAAGAAGTGCTTATTGAACTGAACAAACTGAAAAATCATGGCACAATACTCCACTTGGGGCCCTAATGGAGGCTTTTTTTTTTTTTTAAGTAATGTCTATACCCCACATGGGGCTTGAACTCAGGACCGGAGATCAAGAGTCACATTGTCCTCTGACTGAGCCAGCCAGGTGCTCCCCTAATGGATTCTTTGTATTTGTTAATAATCAGATTTATACTTTCACTTGAACTTCAAATGTTGAATGAAATAGAATAATATTAAAAAAGAAATAGAATAATATTTGGCATAAGAAATGGGTGCATTATTTTTACATGTTTCTAATTAAAATTTCTAAATATTAATTATAAAATACATAAATATTAGTTTCAAAATGAGTAGCCAAGATATGGTTAGTGTGGTGATTCTTATGTAATTCTAAAAATGTTTATGGTTATAGGCTGCATGCATAATAATAGCTCTGGCTACTTTTACACATTTTGGTTGTACTTGGTCCTGAATCTTTGTAAAATATTCTGCTCTCCACACCTTACCCACCGAGTCCCTCCGATGTACGAGGAGATATAATCATGAGTAAGACACAAGCTTTGATTTTAAGAAGCTTATAATCTAATGGAGGAGAGAATGACATACAAGTAATTAAAATAGAAATTTTATAAATGGCGAATATGGCCTTGAAATGTAGATTACAGTCTCAAAGTTCAGTGACTAGTGTAAGGTGACTGTCGCCTTGACCAGACCCACTTTTGGTTCCAGTACTATGTCTGCTTTCATCATGGAAGCAACAGCAGGCCCTCCAAGTTGCTGCCAACTACGGCAGATGTTGTGAGCTGCCTATGTCTTCTGTTTGGATCCTTTCTCTGAGATTAAGGGAGGGTTGGCTACTGGAGATCTGGTACAAATGCAAAGAGGATAGATCTTGCTATCATTCATTCAATACACATTTATTAAGTATTCACGTCAATAGATAGTCAACCAATAATTACTTAGAGTATACTTTCTAAATTCTCTCTCCATCACCCTGTAATAATCACTGATGAAGCCACGTATTCTTTCCCTGAAATTTTATCTTTCATAGAAAATAGAAAAATAAAAAAGTGCCTTGCCTACCATTGTGATTAATGGTCTGAGAAAAAGAAAAGTATTATGATTATTTTTATTTGACTCTTTACTAGTTTGCTGACAAAGCACTAGCATTGAGTTGTCTCTTTCTGATTGGTGTCAGGTTGTTTATGGATACAGTTTGTGAATCTTCCTTGATTTTTTTATTATGCAGAATTTTGTAAATCTTTATGTTGGCATATGACCTGATAACGGAGTTCACTTCTTGCACTGATATACTTGGAACAGAATCTTACAGCGTTTGAGGGGGACTCTCACAGAACACTAGTACCAGACCGTGACAATGTCTTATTCATAAAAATAGAAGAATCATTGACGACTCTCTTTTTTCTGGCATGCTTCCAAAAAGGCAACTTAATGCTCTACTCTGCCTAGTAAAGAAAAGCCCTCAAATGGAGGCCAAATTACTAACAGGTGACATTAGCACCTACTGTGTAGACACTAATTGGCCCCTGATTAATTCAATTCCACCAACTGCAATAATGAGTAATGAAAGGCAAAATATTAATGAAAGTGTTAGTGGTTTTCCCCTGTCTCCAATGTTTGCCACATCTGTCTTCAATGAATGTTTTTAACTATGAACTGTATATTCATGAACGAGAAGGGTTTTTGTCTATTTAAAAGAGTGACACTTTAGGAAAACCTTAACTTTATTATGGGTACATAATGACATTAGTATTGACATTAGGATAGCATATTGTTTTAAAATTTATTTATGACAGTTTAGTAGATTATATTATTTAGATGTTATTAGCAATCTTTCTTAAAGAAAAGCATAACATTCTTTTTGCAAGCATAGTAGTAGAAGAAAATGAACTTACTTGTCTACCAAGTAACTCCGAAGGACATAACCATCTATGAAAAAAAAGAAAATAAATTTTATTAATAGTACAGAATCTAATAATCTTTACTGTTTCTTTTAAGAAAGTGAAATAGAATTGAATATTTAATGTAATATGATATGATATAATGTGACATAATATACTGAATAATTCTATTTCCAAATATGACCTATTTTTCTTTTTTAAAGATTTTATTTATTTATTTGGGATAGAGAGAGCACAAGCCAGAGGACAGAGGGAAAAGGAGAAACAGACTCCCCACTGAGCAGGGAGCCAGACGCCGGGCTGGATCCCAGGACCCTGGGATCATGACCTGAGCCGAAGGCAGACGCTCAACCGAATGAACCACTCAGGGGCTCGGACCTATTTTACTTATTCGTGTCCACTTTTTCCCCCTTCTTTTCTTCTCCTTTTCTCTCTATTTTTTTCACTGTCTCCTACATGTCTCTTTTCCTCCATTTACAACCTTTCCCCTTAAAGAGAAACAAATTACCTTCTCCAAGCTGCTGCAGGTCCTAGCACAAGGCTCTACCAAATTTTACTCTATTTCTTCATGGTGTTATCCATGAGACCCAGTCCTAGGGAGAATTTATAGTTTCTCTAAATACAAAAGTAGTTCATAGGTAGGTATTTCAAATACCACCAGATCAAAGCCTTAACTTTTAAAATTCTATTATATTGAACAGAGTCGAAACTGTTTTCAACTCCCCTTTCAGATCAGCAATCTTGTGATTACTTGGGGGAGTATGCATTCTAAACGGTCTCAAAATAATTCTCACGTTCAGTGTGGAAGGTCTTCCATACTGCTTTTGCCATTTGACAGTGTGTCAACATGTGCACTTTCATCTTTCATGAAACAAGTCATTATTAGAAGAACACATACCAGGCATTCTAGGGATTCCCCTATTAAATAGGAAATAGACCATATTTTATGCAAAAAAGTAAAGGTTATCTTTGCCTCTATTGTGCACAATAATCCTAAGAAAAAATTCAGACTATTTTTCTTGAGAAAATTTCTGCTGACATTTAATGAATATTACTAATCTTCGGAATCATTAGTTTTGTGTTAGTACCTAAACACTACTGTATGTTTGAGATTAGTAGCATTCATTGCCTTGTCAATACAGCCTCTAAATTCCTTCAGAGCCAATCTATTGGTCTTGGTCCACTTTAGATCTAATTTTTATTAGACTAAATGTGTAAAAAATTATAAACCAGGAAGCTCATAGGCAAAGATTAATACAAATGATAATAAACTTACTTAAACATACTGATGTTATATTGCCATTGATTTAACATGCAAAAACATTTTTTTTAAAAAGTGGGATCATACAAATGAAACTATAGATTGAAACTTAAGAAAACAAACTTTCCCCTGAAATATTCCAGGGTAAAAAAAACTCCACTGAAATATTTTATCAAGAAATTCACCATTTTTTAATGAAAACTTTTTAAAATCCTATTTGGAAAAGGAAGAATCAAAGTTATCTTTGAATTCCTGTAGTATGGTAATAATGAAGCATGTGTCAAAATGATAAAAGCACAACAATGTAATATTTTTCTCAGACTCTGAAAAATTAGACCTTGTTATACCTTCCTTTTTTATTTCAGTTAAAGCAGTAGCAAAAATTATTAATGTAAGAACATCTAAAAATTAATACCCTTGGTTGCCTTTGATTTCACAGTTCTTTTATTCATTTCATGTTAACAGAGTTCTAAAAAATTTAAGGTATGTATCATAATTTAACCTAATTTTTAAAAGGGGATAAGCTCGTCTCTAAGAAATTCAATTCTACGTGTGTCTCTCAAAAGAGAAAAATCTATACAGATAACAAGTTTTTAGAACAAACTGTGGATTTCTCGTCATGGTCCCAATAATTGAAGCCTGTCTTTACCTGCGCTGATGTTTAGAGCTAAAATAAAATGTGAACACATCTCTATAGACAGTAATAGTCCAAACTTTTTTTGTTTCCATTAGTTAAAATTGGTGGTTCTTCTTTTCTTTTGAATATTTTTTCTTAAAACAAACTGGGAAATAAAAGAATACAATAATAAGTGTTCCCATGAGATATTCATGTTTAAATTAATAATTTAAAAGTAATGACGTAGATGAGTTGAAGCTTTTGACAGTGAAGGAAATCTCTGTGAGCTGTTCAGGCTTTGTAATGTGTCTGAATTAAAATTAGAAGATAAAAAATTAGAGAAGTATATAAGAAATTAAAGCTATTGCCAGAGACTGGACTTAACTCCAGCATCAGTATATTCTTGTTTTTTAAAAAATCTTTAGAAGATTTAAAGAAATAAAGAACAAAACAAAGAGAATATAAACATCATTTTTGGCAATCAACAGTGTTTATTTTCCTTTGCTTTTAAGTAATCTTTTGAAAACTCATCTATGCTAGAGGCGCCTGGGTGGCTCAGCCTGTTAAATGTTTGCCTTCGGCTCAGGTCATGATCCCAGCGTCCTGGGATCGAGTCCCGCATCGGCCTTCCTGCTCAGCAGGGAGCCTGCTTCTCCCTCTCCCTCTCCCTGCTGGTCCCCCTGCTTGTGCTCTCTCTCTCTGTCAAATAAATAAATAAAATCTTAAAAAAAAAAGAGAAAATTCATCTATGCTAAAATTGTGTGGACCTGGATTAAGTACCGTCTATAGTAATTAAGCATTAAGTAGTCCTTTACATGAGCAAGGTTAATAACTCATGATATACAGCTTAATAGCCTGTCTTCACAAAATTATTTATAAAAAATATATTTTAGATTCTCAAATGCCTATTATATTTCCTCCTGTATCTTGCCTATTCCGGAGCTCTAAGGAATGGCTTTTCCTTTTGTTGGATGCTCTGCTATAGATGTTGCTTTTGTGGATGAGCTACATAAATGTGAATGATGATGAATATTGCTTAAGAAAATGTATCAAGGAGATGCAGTGTGGGATGGTACTGTACTGCTCTATTTTAGTTTCCTGAAATGATGTGATAATTTGGGGCTCATTAGCTATAAAATTACTATCCTATAGCATTTTTACAGTGTTAATGACTTTTTAATACAGCATAGATTTCGCTGTCTAGTGCCTTTAAAAATCTCTAAAACCTCATTCTATTAAAAGCATGATTGATTCATGACAGTGTTGAAAAAAGTGACCCACCATGAATTTTTATATTTTATATCATCTTCCCATTATAGTTCCTAGAAATAATTATTTTTGCAGTAGAAAAATGATCTCTTTGCTTCAGTGTTCCATGTACATCCGTCATAAGGCATATTAATGAGAAGTACAAATGAAAGAAGCAAAAAAGTCATCGTGGCTCCATGCCATGTAGAATGGGTACCATGTTTACTGTGGGTGCTGGCCCACCAGGGATTCTCACATGAATTATCATTGAATATGAAATTGAAAGTTTTATTTGGAAACTAATATGAAATTATTATTTGGAAACTTCATATTCATACAGCAGGGCACAGAGGCTTGAAACAAGTGTTTTGAAATATGTGGTGGGATAAAGCTAATTCAGAAAGTAACACCCATCCCCCATACGAGCCAGTTCTCAGGACTGATTCACCTTTAAGAAGGGTGTCATGAATACAAAATTATGAAGGAAACACAAAATCGTCTTTGGAAAAATTGAAAATATCTTCATTCTAATATTTTCAAATTTCTTGCTTAATAAAAATGACAACTTTTGTTATTTCTTTATTATTTCATCTGTCATGAGCAAGTCCAGAAATAAAGTTCAATTTACTCAATTTGGCCTCATGCAGGTTAAAAACAATAAAATCATGTTGCACAGATTTACCCACACAAGTGGAACAATGCCTGACTTCAAGGGAACCTGCTCATAATATAACAGAAAGAAAAAAACAAAACACAGTGTAGAAGACTAAATATAAATTATTAGCCTAGTATTATAGAAATGTTCTCTCTCTTTGTCTTCTTTCTCTCTGTCTCTTTCTCCTTCCTAGGGCTTCAAATCAGAGGACTTTTAAAGTTTCTGAATTTAAAAAATTTTCTTCAGTGAGCATATGCTGTTTTAAAATTGAAAACAAAATTATTTAAGCAGAGAAATGATTAATTGGATTTGAGAAAATCCAATCTTTGAAATTCCCTTTCCTTGATGCCTGAAGAAAATGAGTACATTTTAATCACAAATAATTCAGTTCATGTTTCCTTCCACACTTATTGTAGAAAATTTTGCTCCAGTGACAGGAGGTGGGGAAACCCACAGCTTATGAGACATCGAGTTGTGGAATACGCTCAAATATTAGCAAGAAATTCTAAACATCTGGGGATGTGCCAGAAATACATAGTTAAGATCTCAACGCCTCTGCGATATGTGTTTCCACAAGCCAGGGGGTGAATTGATCAAATGTGAGAATGCTTGTAATGGTGGCTTATACTCAACTCCACAATGGGAAGAAATTATTGTTAATGCTTTTGCCTCTAATTTCCTACCATTACATATTAAGTTTAAGTAAGCTATGCTTGCTTTTCTTTGATGGATTAAGGAATGGAAAGTAAGGAAAATGTTAAGGTTACCATGGTTTTGGACTGCAAATGCCTTTACAGCTAAGCAGATGTAGAAATGAGGAAATGAAACATTTAAAGGCTCCTAAATGATACACAACAAGCAAGCCACATCACTAGGACTAAGAAAACTTCTGTCTTCTAACAAGTTAAACTATTCTGCAGACTTCTTCCTGTGCGTGTCTATATGTCAGACTTTCATCTGGTTCTCCAACTGCAATTTCCAAATTCTTTTTTTTTTTTAAAGATTTTATTTATTTATTTGAGACAGAGAGAATGAGAGAGAGAGAGTACATGAGAGGGAGGAGGGTCAGAGGGAGAAGCAGACTCCCCGCCAAGCAGGGAGCCCGATGCGGGACTCGATCCAGGGACTCCAGGATCATGACCTGAGCTGAAGGCAGTCGCTTAACCAACTGAGCCACTCAGGCGCCCTGCAATTTCCAAATTCTTACATTCAATTCAGTAAGCCCCGAAAAAGGTGCCAAGCACCGCAGGATGTATCGGCAGCACAATGTTGAGAACATTTCCGTGAAGTTACTCTCAAGCTCAGAGTCTAATACGAGTAATAGATTGATAAAATAGGAAGGACAATTCCAGGGACAAAAGCAGTAGCATGGTGGGGCCGGGGAGAGAGAAATTGTGATGGGTGACTGAGGAGTAAGGAGTGGATGTGCTTCCAATTTTAGATGACAACTGGATTGTTTTTAGTAGACAATTATGGGCACTGGACGTAGAATAAAACAGCATAGAAGGATGAAATAGCATAATTTATTCAGGGAATGACAAGTCAGTAGTATATATTTTTGGAGTGGCAGTTGCAGATGGGAAATAGTAGATGAGGTTGAGGCTAGATCTACAGGGTTTTATGTACTAGCGTAGAGATGCTTTTGTTTTTTTAAAAAATGGTATTTGAGTAACAGTGTGGCAGGTGGATTGGCTGAGAGTAAGGGTAAGGTAGACATATCATTTGAAAGGCTATTGCAATAATCTGATGAGAGAGGGTTAAATCTACACAACAATTCTCCCAAATCCTATAGAAGTTACATGAGTGATGGATCAGAGATTAGGGAAATTAAGAATGCCAAGGATCCAGTTCAAGGAAGGAATAAGCAGGAGGTTTAGAAAAGTTAAGAAAAGCAGGAGATTTGGCAAAATAAAATTGAAATTAAGTGGATAGGATCATTATATTTTGGAATAAAGCTTAACATGAAAGGCAACAGCAGATGCTCCGGGTGGCCTTCCCATAGACCTTCCCCCGCTACCATGTCAGTGCCTTTTGGCTCACCCAACTTCCAAAGGACAGCACTAGCAATTTTTTTAAAAAGATTTTATTTATTTATTTGAGAGAGAGAATGAGATAGAGAGAGAGAGCATGAGAGGGGGGAGGGTCAGAGGGAGAAGCAGACTCCCTGCCAAGCAGGGAGCCCGATGCGGGACTTGATCCCGGGACTCCAGGATCATGACCTGAGCCGAAGGCAGTCGCTTAACCAACTGAGCCACCCAGGCGCCCAGCAATTTTTTTTTTTTTAACTGATCACTTTTCTCTGGCTTCCAGAGCTCTTTGTCAGCTTGCTTGGTATCCCAAATGGCTCGCCACCTGCCCAGGAGGAGGCTTCAACTCCACATGGACAGGAGTTGATGTATCAATACCCCAATTTGTTTCCCATTGGCTGTGATAACACTGCCTCTCTGAGTTCTCAACGGGTATAAGCTCCAATTATCTAAGTGGCAACTTTTTCCATTACAAGGTTTTATTGACTGCCTTTCCTTTCCTGTCTCCTTTTCCACTTGCTCATAAGTGATTCCCAGAATCACCCCTAAATGGAGAAGCTAAGACGAAGTCCAGAGTCCAAAGAAAGTCTTTAAATAAACAACATCAGGTATACAAGCCCTACTGATAGAATCATCAGGTTTCCATTCTGTTTGAGATGGACCCCAAACCACCTAAGACTTGAATTAGTTATCAGGGAGCTTGGGACTTGTAAAGTGCATTGGTACTGTGCCAGGAAAAAACTGATAAAAGTTACATGGAGCCATTGCTTGTGATCTATCAGCATTTTACATAATGTTCGCCCTTCTCATTTTTAACCGGTGATAGATTTTAAGAGGGCAGGAGCCCTCCAGTATTCATAACAGTATTCAGAATTGTTGATGTCCAAATAGGAAATGATAGCAGATTACAGAATCATCCCTGAGTAATTACTGTTTTTCTCATTCTTAAGGTCTACTGGCTCCTAGAAAGATAAGGGTCTCCTCCAAATTTCCGTTTCTGGTGCTGCATCCTCCTGCTCATCTATCTCCATACAGGTTGTTGATGAAGCCATTAATACCCTTGTTACTCGAGAGTATGTTCCATGGGCCAGCAGCATCCATCCCCTGGTGGCTCAGTAAAACGCGGAATGTTACACCTCACCTCAGACCTACTGAATTAGAATTAACATTTTTGACAAGATCCCCATGCGATGGGTGTGCACTTTGGAGTTGAAGAGCATGGCTTTAGATGGGCTTTGTTGTGAAAGACAAGAATCTCAGGACAGCAGGGCAAGATCGGTCTGAAGCTTGTGCGCCGGAGAAAGGGCCACAGGACAAGGGTACTAGGACAATTCTCTCTTGTAAAAAATGTAATATAATTTGGAACGTGGAGGAAAGAAAACAGGTTCATTTAGCTCCTCACCTCAATCAGCCTCTATTAGCAGCGTAGCTTAGTTTCTCTTATTTACATAATTTTTTAACCTGGCTGTAAATCCAATCCCACATTAAGCAGGCTTCGTATTTCTCTTACTATTGTGTCGTGAGAATTTCCTCACATTATTATCATAGTCATCGTGTAAATATTCAATCTGGTATAATAATCATAACCTATTTAACACTTTCTGAATTTTTAAACTTTTTAATATTTTTGATGACCTTTTAACACATAGAGTTTTTCTGCATGTAAAGCTATTCCTTGGGGTACATCCTCACAAATGCTAGTCTGAATGAGGGCTTTCTTCGTCTCCTGGAGCACTGTTTACACATTATCTCCAGTGACCTTTGAGGCTTACTACTACACTACCCGTGTCTTTTATCCTTTGTACCCACATTTCATTTTCTCCTTTTAAAAGCCAACCACACCTCCTCCATGATAACTTTAGATCCATTTCCCCAACCTTGAGTCACCGGTTTTATTCTTAAAACTCCCATTTCACTTCCTGTCCCTGAGTCACCTTCCTGTCATTAAAATTCGACTCAGAGTTCATGTTTTCCACACAGACTAACCAAGCTGATGGGGGCAGCCACACTGACTCTTTGCTTTTAAATATAGGACACATAATTTTGAATGGCTCTTCCCTGGACTTTAAATAAAATAAGCTTCTTGTTAAAATTTGACAAGAACATTTCCATCTGTTGGTTTTAATAGCCGATAAAGTCAAAGAAGACAGGGACTCTCTTGTATTCATGTGGAATACGATGCTGTATGAAGGCGTGCACTTGTGATCAGTGCTGGGTGATGTATGGGAGTGCTCACTCATTATATTTTGCTCCTGGAACTAATGAAACACTGCACGTTAACTACACTGGAATTATATTGAAATTAAATTAAATTAAAAAATAAATACAGGAAGCATAATCTTGAATTACTCTTCCCTGGACTTTAAGTGAAATAAGCTTCCTTTTCAAATGTCACAAAAACATTTCCCTCCATCAGTTTCGATAGCCCATAAAGTGGAAAGAAGACAAGGGACTCTCTTATATTCATTTGGAATACTATGTCGTATGAAGTGTGTCCAAACAGGAAATGAAAACAAGTAAGTGTGCAAGGTAGGAAGACTGGAAATTCTAGATGTGCCATGTGCTATATGATTTCAAAACCAGGCCAGAACAAGAGCCACTCACTCCTTCAGCACACCGCTTCTCACTCTCGTGTACCTGAGAATAAGCTAGGGAAGGAGTGACGATCCCAGATTCCATCTGACTCCCCAGAACTCATAGTGGATCAAGGGCGGATCCAGGCAACCGTGATTTTAATACACAAAGGGTTTTCTGATGCTGGTGGTCTGTGGGGCCGCATTTGAGAAGTACTGATTTGGTATTACCTTGGCACCACAGTGCCAAATACAGCAGGTGGGAAATGAAAAAGGATTCAAATAAAATACATCAATTTCAGCACAGCAAGATCTCTAGTTTCTTAATGTATTCCACAATTCAGAAAGCACAGACAAAATGAAGTTAATGATCAGAAAAACATGTTTGATTATTAAATCCTGGAGTGCTGTATCGATGAAAGTAAGCAGTGACTTACATTTTCCTTCCTCATTTCTGCAAAGAACTTTTGTATCATCAGTGCTTTGTATAACTTCAAGAGATTCACCAGGCTTCACCTGCAGATCTCTGGTGCCCCACCTTTTAGAAGTTAAGGAGGGTGCAACTTTGGTCGAATACAGGACTCTAATTTCACCATCATACTGGAAAAAAATAAAGAAAAACATTTTTATTATTGATTGATGTGTATTATTAAACTAATCCATTTATTGACAGATGTACTAAGAAAGCCTTTGCTAAATAAATAGTTCCTTGTTTTAAAAAAATAATGTAAAAACATTAAAGAAAAATTTTTGAGGGAAAAACCACTCATAATCTCACCAACCTAATATAATCACTATTTTTAAAATTAAAAACATCTTTTAGGTTAAAGGTGTACATGTGTTGATTTGATGTACTCATATATTACAAAATGATTACCATCATATCTTTAGCTAACACCTCTAACACCTCACATAATTTCCACTTCTTTTTTGTGGTGAGAACATATAAGATTTACTCTCTTTACAACTATCAAGTATATAATACAGTATTCTTAAGGATAATGACCATGCTGTACATTAGACCCCTAAAGCTTATTCATCTTATAACTGAAAGTTTGTACCTCTGACTAACATCTCCTCCATGTACCCCACCCCAGCCTTTGGTAACTATCATTTTACTTTGTTTCTGTGAGTTTGGCTTTTTTAAGTGATATTATAGAATATTCATCTTCCCCTGTTTGACTTACTTCACTCAGCAATGACCCTTACGGGCTATCCATGTTGTCACAAATGGCAGGATTTCCTTCTTTTTCGTGGCTGAATAATATTCCAGTGTATGTATATGTATTTGTGTGTGTGTGTATATACATATAATCTTTTTTATCCATTCTATTTTTATATTATCTTATTATTAAAGTTCAAAGAACAGCTGAATTTAAATGATTATTGCAGTATATGTATTGTGCATGTATGAGAGTTTGCTTAATTTGTTAAAGGAATAAATTCAAATGTAAAGAAAATTATATAGAAAATAAAGGAGTTAGGATGGATAACTGATACTGATAATTACACTTTTTTTTTAAAAGATTTTATTTATTTATTTGAGAGAGAGAATGAGACAGAGAGAGAGAGCATGAGATGGGGGAGGATCAGAGGGAGAAGCAGACTCCCTGCCGAGCAGGGAGCCCGATGTGGGACTCGATCCCGGGACTCCAGGATCATGACCTGAGCCGAAGGCGGTCGCTTAACCAACTGAGCCACCCAGGCGCCCGATAATTACACTTTTAATACGTGCATTTTGGTACTTAAAAATCATTGGTTTTTTCATTACGCTTTGAACTTTGATATCTAAATATGACATACTTTAAACTTTTTCCTGAAGTCTTTCTCTTCTTTTTCCTGCTTTTTTAGCTTCTTGGGGTCTTTTTCTTCTGTCTTAGCCTTGGCTCCTTGACTAAGATGGCAGAACACACATAAAACAACATTTAGCTTAGTTTAAAAAGAACAGCATACAATAGAGACTTCATCCATAACATTACAATTTTGTTGAATTTTGTTTTTAATTAATTCCTTTTCTTAGAAATCTAGTACATTCATTGTAATAAGTGATAATATTTCATAACACAAAAGAGATTCTTCAAAATAATACAGATTATGGTTAAAATGGAAGTGATTATCTATTATGGTGAACCATATAAAATTACTGAGGTATAGTGTGAACGTGGTTACGTATCAGAGGTTTCATATGATTCAACCCACCTATTGTCGAACTCTCTGTATTTTTTCAAACCTTCCTAGATAATTAAGTGGCTTGGCCAATATCACAGAAAACGCTTTATGAAAAAGAACATTTTTTTAAAAATTGATTTTTATGGCTTGAAAAGTTTATCTATGTGTCAGGTTTTCATATCTACTTAAAATGGAGCCAGAGTAACATTTTATCTCATAGATACCAACTAGACTGATGCGAATTGTCATAAGAATAAGCCTATGATAGTGATTCTTCAGCCCAGCCACATACAGGATCATCTGGGAAGTTTTAAAAAAGTACCAATGCCTTTGTCTAATTTCTAGAAATTCTAATTAAATTAAATACATTCTAATTAATTAGACTGAGTGGGGTCTAGATACTGACATATATGTTTTAAAGCTCCCCAGGTAATACTAATTTGCAATCAAGGCTGAGGAACATTTGCTAGGGTTCACTGTGGATGTTAGGGAAAGGCTGGGAATCTCTGAAGGAGGGAATTTTAAAAATCAGAATTTTTTGTGAATAATGAAAAGTTCTAAACACTGATTTTAATTTTTATCTAGATTACCTACAATAAAGTTTTGTTTGTAACTGATATATTTAAAATGTTTGATTCCTAAGCTTTGAATCTCAGAATTTAGTTCATTTACTGTGAAATGAATTAGCACAGTGTCCTGCCTTGGGTTCTGCATCCTGCCTCAGTATCTGCTTTGTTACGGTGCTCTGGTCAGTAGTGGATTTGCAGTCCCAAATTAGCACTTTGGAACTATCAGGATATACATGCATGTTAAAAATGGCCCATGAGCTCCCTTTGAAAATAACTTATTGAAGTTTAGTTTTAGTTTAAAATAGAATATTATGTTAGAGAACATAAAATAGTCTTAAACTCTGAAAATAAGCAGCAGCAAAGAAAATGGTACATATCACATAAAGTTTAATCAGCCGGGGTTTATTCTACTTGAAGAAAAGGTCCAGTGTGTAACTGGGTTCCTAGAGAGCTGTTTAATGGAACGTGGTGACATTTTTACAGTAATATAAAACAGAAAAATGCATTAAAAAATGTCAGGGATAGAAGTGACTTCCCAGTGGTGAGGAATTTTCAAACCTAACATATTACTGAAGATTAGATTTTCTTTTCAGAAAAAAGAAGGATTCTCTTTTCATCTTTCTTGTTTGTTGTGCCTATAGAACTTGATCCTGACATAGAAATGATAGCATATTCTCTCTTCAGTTTCTTTGATCTTGATACTTTCTCTTGTTCAGTAAAATTAACTTAACAGTGTTGGTAAAAAATAAATACTAAATAAATAAACACTCATGCATTTTTGCAGTATTGCTCAGAAGACGCTGCATATTGTCTCCCATTTGTGTCACTTTCATCCTTTAACTAATCAAGCTCAAGATCTTTTTATTCACCTTTTTTCCTGAGAAAGCTACAGAGGTATTCTTGCTTTTATACACCGTATGTATCAGCTCATCTCACATGTTTATTGGAATATAAAAAAGCATCTTGCCATGTTATTTTCTATTTCAAAAGAGGTTTCAAATGGTACTCCTTTTGTACTAACTGATCTTAACATTTTTTCATACAGTTTTATCCTAAAATTAAATTGAAACCTTAGGTGAGCTGAAGAATGTCACTATTCACCCCTAACTTTTTTTTTTTAATTTGAATGGAACCTTTGAGAATCTGATGCTTTTGTGAAAAAGAGATATGGCAAAGTCCTTTGAAAACACAAATCATCTTTTTTTTTTTCCCATAAAAGGAAAAAATCTTGTGGAGGACAGAAGAGATTTGAAGAAGGTAGGTGAGGGGTGAGATATAAACTAAGAAGTGTGTTCAAGACAAAAAAGCTTTTGGGAAAAGGGTAAAAATAAAGGGAGGAGATGAATCAGTGAGATCAGTTGTGATCAGACTCTCAAATATTTTCCCAGTGAATGAGTACATGAAGGGATAAATGAATGTAGACATCAGTGAGTCACCAGGCAGAGAATAATCAGGAGCAAAATACCCTGGGGAGGGGGCAGCGGAGGAGGGGGATCAGGGTCTTCCACCCACAAACCTAGCAGAAACTTTAGAGCTGAGATCAGAGAGAGGACAGAGTAAACAGGATCAAACACAGTAGATGTACATGCCTTTGGGGTTTTATTCTAGTTGAATTTTCTTAAGCAGTCGGATTTTCATCTCAAAATGAGAACATTTTACTTACCTCAGCTCTGCTGGTGGAGCAGGGAAATCAGAGGCATCCACATCATCATAAACTTCATCTCCCATGTCTAACAAAAGGCAAAGTATCAAATGTTGAGACACTTTTAGTTTGAATTTTGATATGAGCATCCGATGATGTTTTTAATATAAAGATTGTTTTGAGGACAACAAAATCAGTTTTCCTGGAGTCTCTATACATTTCTCCTGGAAGCATTGTCTGTTCCTTGAAGGGGAGAGGTTTTTCTCTCCTTGGATATCTCTGCTAAATTTCCCTCAAAAAAAAACAAAAACAAAAACAAAAAACCAGAGACCGTGACTGTAACTAGCATTATCAGGATAAATCTCCCCAAACAGTGACTGAGATTATTTGCAGATCCACGCATGTGATGAATGGCAGGATTAGTAGATTGCTGACAAACAAATCAACATTACTGGCCATTGGCAATAGGCTGTAGAGATTGATTCTTAGGGGATTTGGGATGCTATGATAATATACATTATTTATATGTCTGTGTCTTTGTCTATGTCTGTCTATCTATCTATCTATCTATCTATCTATCTATCTATCTATCTATCTATCTATCTATCTATCTTTCTACCTATCTATCATTCTCTTTTAGTCACTGATCTGTCCCTCACTGATTTTTAACTTATAGTAGTATTAGGTGTGGTACCACCTTAAAATGGAAAGAATATTCCTATTAATAAGACATGTCTGGTCCATACCAGCAGGTATTGAAAACCAGTGTTGGTGGGAAAGTGGCCATGCCCTTAACTGGGTCAATGGCTTTTCTAATCCGTAGATACTTTTCTTTCATCTAGACCTCTTGTTAATAAAGTCAGGAGGATTGCGCCCTCTCTGCACCTATTAAGTTGCTCCACAGCAAATTAAGCTGAAGAGATGAGCTGAAGAGAGTACAAATGTTTTAAGGAACGATTATCATAGAAAGTTTAGATGCTCTCTGTTAGCGGCAAGGATTTAATTTCCTTTAAGAATTCCTCTCTCTCTCTGTATATATGTATAGAGTACATATATATACTATATATTTTCTTAAAGATTTTATTTTTATTTGACAGAGAGACACAGCGAGAGAGGGAACACAAGCAAGGGGAGTAGAAGAGCGAGAAGCAGGCTTCCTGCAGAGCAGGGAGCCCGATGCGGGGCTCGATCCCAGGACCCTGGGATCATGACCTGAGCCGAAGGCAGATGCTTAACGACTGAGCCACCCAGGCACCCCACATATACTGTATTTATATTACATACATACGTGTCTGTGTGTGTGCATTCTCCTCCCACTCAGGTAATTAATTTCACAGCTATGTGAAGAATCCATAATTAATATTATAAAAAATATGACATATCATTGGTTTCCAAAATGGGAAAAATTACTATTCCATACACATGTACTTAAAACACACTTGAGAACAAACCAAAATTAAAACAAAAAAAACCCAATTTTTTTTTACTTAACTGATCACATTTGTTTCACTTTATACTTACCCTCTGTGGAGCTAAATTTCTTGAATACTTTTTGAAAATTATAGATTAAGATATAAACTCATCATCAGTTATTGATTAATTTGAATTAGTGCCTTATGTATTTTCAAACTGATAACTGAAAACGAGATCAGATAAACAGTCTGGAAGAATAGATGATCTGTGTGTTTAGTTTTCTCTTTCAACTTATTTATAAATCCAGACAAACTTTTTGAAAACCTCTGAATATTCCTGTGAGACATTTTATTTTGTTCAAAGTCAGTTTAAGAAGAATCTTTGAAAGGTCTATTTCAGCAGGGATAAAAAAAAAATAAGCTGATCAAAATTGTTCGAAGAAGAAACGGTTTCACATTTAGCAGTGGAAAGTTTTCCAAAAACAATATAAATTATACATTCAAAAAAATCAAAGAAATTTAGATTTAGAAGAGACTTGGTGTCATATAATTTGGTACATTTTTAGAAATCCTTATGCATAAGCCCAATATATCAGGCTTGACTGAATTGGGGTAGAGGAGACATGAGAAATATTGGTGTCCATCCCTGTCCACTCCTTCCTTTCTCCATAGTGACCCCTATGATGGGGTGAACATTTTAAAAACCATCAATATTAGGGACACTGGGTGGCTCAGTCCAGTAAGCGTCTGCTTTCTGCTCAGGTCATGATCCCAGGGTCCTGGGATCGAGTCCGGCATTGGGCTCCCTGCTCCGCGGGAAGCCTTCTTCTCCCTCTCCCTCTGCCTACAGCTCCCCCTGCTTGTGCTCTCTCTCTCTCTGACAAATGAATAAATAAAATCTTTAAAAACCATCAATATTAAAAATTTTCCTGTTCCCACTATTTAACTGTTGAGAAGCTGTGGCCCCCCAAGGAGAAGTTGCTTGACAAGGTTACACAAGTTACTATTTTCAGAGTCAGGACTTCAGTCCAGATACCATGACTATATCCAATGCTTTCCCACTACCCCATCGCAAGAAATGAGATATAAAATATATAATCAGTTTTTATTACTTACCTGATTGTTTAGGAGGAGAAGGGAAACTAGAAAGAAAATGAGAACACAATTATAATCAGACCAATATAAACACAGAAATTGAGCCCTTTTATTTAGGAGAGACATGAAGAAGTAAGCCTGGAGCCTTGTGAAGGCTAATTCTGTTGATGGTCATTCCTTTCTCATCTCCATTTCTCCACTGAACCTCAGTTTCTGCCCATCAATCTGGAATTTCACAAGACTTTTTTTTTTTTTTTGAACTCCAATGGTGGCCAAAAAAGTCAAAAGTCAAGGCATTCAGTGGTTTATTTTGCCCATAGCCATTGGACCAATATTTTCAGATTTGTTCTATGAGGTTTGGGCATATTATCAAATCAGAGTAAATTAAATGGACTCAATGTTTTGAAGTCATTCTGGCATAGCTCAGGTCAAAACTTTTTATTTGACTTAAAGAGTAGAAATAGAGGGCTGAAATGAACAAAGGTCATAGGATTCTTTGTATGACCATGTTTTCCCAAACAGGAGAATGGTGAATAAGAGAGGAATATCCACTGAAACTGGGGAGGGAGAGCTTATTAATAGAAGTGATCTGAAATCAGGATTGGGTGGCATTTAGTTGCAACAGAAAAGGACCTTTGCTTTTATTACTTTCTGAACTTCAAGCACACACACAAGCACACATCACTAGAAGAATGGTGCACAGTTACGCTAAAGTGCGAGAGGTCATTAGTTCAAATGATTGAAAATCAAAATTAGGATGTGTGCAATTGGAACAGGAAAAATAATCTCTGCCTTTATTTCTAAGTAAGGTCTGCATTTGAATAATGGTGCATCAAGAGAGGATTTGTTAAGAAAAAAGAGGATTTGTTATGTTTACTTACAATTTTGAGTGTCTTGTTTACTAAGTGTTGGTTTTAGGTCTCACAAAAGACTTAAAATGAGGAATTCTATGTGGAATTAACATTTTATAAAGACTTTAGTGAAGGATGAGAATCTACTGAGTTACAAAGACTTTAAATACTGTATTTAGAGAAAAGAAATTGCAAATTGTGTCCTTTATTTCTGGCAAGCTAATTTGTTAAAAGAGAATGTGTATTTTGAAGGGTAGTCACTATAAAATATTATATAATAAAATGTGGCATTGGAATTGTGAGCTTTTAGATATGATGTTGCAGTGAAAAAAAGTTCTACTAAATGAAGAGTGTATGAGTATGTAAAGGTGTGTGTGTGTGTGTGTGTGCATGTGTGTGTTCTCTGTGCATGTTTGTAGGGAAGGCAAAATATATCTTTGAACCATACGACAATTTTTGAATATTTTGTGTTCCTCTTATGTAAATGCATGAGTGTAAGGGTGACACCGTAAATGAGGCTAAGATGACTAATGGAAAATAATGTTGAAGTGACTTAAGCCTGTCAGAGTTTGGTTATTGGTTATAAAATATTAGTAGCACTTGATTAAATTATTATTAGTGTAGTTATTGTGCACTGAATTTGGTTGGTTGACTCTTACGATGAACCTTCATTATTGTCTGACTCAGGGACTTTAGGTTTCTCTCGTATACTTTTCCTTTTGTCATCTTTTCCCTTTAACATCTTCAAAATCCCCCAGGACCACGAATTACTCTTCTCTTCAACCTGTAGCGTGGAGCTTAGGAGCATGCAGGCATTGAACAGAATGGAATCATTGGTGGAATGTGAAGACGTTTGGTGGACATTCAGATTTTTTATAATTTTACTGCATTGATCATTCAGGCAGCAAGTTACTCATTGTATTCAACGAGATGATGCTTTTATGTTTATAGGCCATGGTCTTTGAATACTGCTGCTACTAGGTAAGTAGTAGGTGAGTTATTTTTTCTATTTAGTGAAATTTCTCTTGGTTTTAAAATAGCAAGCTAAGTCAAAATTAAGTTTTAAACATCAGTTTTGCATTATTTTATGTTTAAAATATGTGACAGATCTTAAGTACATGACAGATCTTAAATTTTAAAATATGTCATTACAAAAGTTTAAAAACCAGAGAATTAAGCATTCAATACTGTTTTTTAAAAATTTTTATTTTTAAATTTAAATTCAATTAATTAACAAGTAGTGTATTACTAGTTTCAGAGGTAGAGTTCAGTGATTCATGAGTTGTATATTAACAGCCAGTGCTCATTACATCACATGCCCTCCTTAATGCCTGTCACCCAGTTACCCCAGCCTCCCTCATACTGGTTTTGCCAAAAATAGCATATGGTTTCATTTTATTTGGATTGTCTAAAACTATGATTATTATACAGAGGATAGCCATGCAACTGATAAACTCTCCAGAGGTTATTGATTGATAAATAAATGATTGGGAAAAGTTTGAAAAAAAAATCTGTAACAGATAATTCTTTTTCATTTCACTTCTTTTGACAAAGTTGTTGAGGTTCTTCCAAATAATATACCGCTTCACTTGAAGTGTGGCACAATTATACTTTCTGACTTACTTCTGCTATTAATTAAACATTCAAATCGTTATTGGTGTTGTAATAAAGAGCACTATTTTTTTGCTTTTTATTCTAACCAAAAATCAACACTAAATTTCAGTATGTAAAAAATTTTCAAGAAAACAGTTCACTAGGGGGCGCCTGGGTGGCTCAGTCGTTAAGCGTCTGCCTTCGGCTCAGGTCATGGTCCCAGGGTCCTGGAATCGAGCCCCGCATCGGGCTCCCTGCTCAGCGGGAAGCCTGCTTCTCCCTCTCCCTCTCCCCCTGCTTGTGTTCCCTCTCTCACTGTGTCTCTCTCTGTCAAATAAATAAATAAAAAATCTAAAAAAAAAAAAAAAAAAAACAGTTCACTGATTATTCTTACCCATCATCAGCATCTTCCTCTTCAATCCCATCATAAATATCATCATCTGGGGGAGGTGGGAACATCCCTTCATTTGGATGGTGGAGGGGGAAAGAATCTTCTGTTAATTTTATAATTTGGTCATGTAACAGTCACTCAAAATTTGATAATAAATCTGCCTTATTTAACTCCAGAAAAGTCCCTGTTCCTTATTAACCATTTAATTAAAAAATAACTTTATTTTCCCACTCTCACATAGGTAGTAGGTAAATTGCTTTGTTGATTATTTATAAAGGAATTCTTAGAGGTGAAATTTAATAAATATATGAAGGATGATAAAGGGCACTGTGCATTGGAGATAAAAGGAATAGGGGAGAATAAATATGAGAAAAAATAAAACCGAATAGGGATAGAGTTAAATATTGTGGAAAAGAGGAGGTGATAAAAATTTAATTAATAGTGAGGGGACATTCAGAAAAAGATACTGGTCAAGATATAAGCAAAGAAAAACAGAATGAAAGGTGAATTTTTGAATTTTGGCAGTAGCTCTGATTAATTTAATCAAAGTGATATTTTAAGGGGCGCCTGGGTGGCTCAGTCATTAAGCGTCTGCCTTCGGCTCAGGTCACAATCCCAGGGTCCTGGGATCGAGCCCCGCATCGGGCTCCCTGCTCAGCGGGAAGCCTGCTTCTCCCTCTCCGACTCCCCCTGCTTGTGTTCCCTCTCTTGCTGTGTCTCTGACAAATAAATAAATAAAATCTTTTTAAAAAAGTGATATTTTAAGAGTTAAACCCTTTGTTGTAAACCCTCAGGATCCTTGCTATTTGACAAATATTTATTTAATAAATGTTTATTGAGTACCTCCTCTGTGCAGAAATATGTACAAAGAACTTGAAATCTGACTTTTAGGATGAGAATTTTAGCACTGAAAGTTATTAGTAAAATACCTTTATTTTGGTGATGAGAATATGAGGAGTCTTTAGGAGTCATAGTTAAGGTAACCATATAAATTGTCCAAATAAGGATACTTCTAAAAGTGAAGGGGGATGCTATTAATAATTGTGCTCAGACAACTGGCATAAATCAAGAGTGCCCTGAGCACACCGGAAATAGTGTCACCCTATGACCCACAACAAACTTGGAAGAAAGAAGTGACTTGTTTAGGGTCACTCAGTGGGCAGGACTAGAATCCAGGTCATTGGCTCCCAGTCCAGTGGTACCACATTAAGATCCTCCTCATTACTTGCAAACAAAAGCATTTTGTCATTAATATAGACAAAAATGGTGAAGACTTGAAGAAACTGCTGATAAAAGTGTGTGGCTTACCTCCACTTCCACTCTGACTGTGGCTAGGAAAAAAAAATAAACAAATTTAATTAGCGTATGAGTTATGTAGCTATCCCGAAGAGAAGTACATATATTGAACAGTTATGCAAAAGAGAAATAACACTGCAGTTCAAAGTTATCAGGATGTTCTATGTAAAGAAGAAGAAACATTGTTCCTTATCATAATAGAAACAAGGCAAGAAACAAAACAAAACAAACCTAATAAGAATCCAGTGATTGTCAGTACTACATAAAGTTTTCAAAACAACGTTACTGTTTGCTTTTAACATTTCCCGAGGTAGTTTTTAGATTATACATCATTGCATCATTCCATAGATAGATTTATGAAAAACAACCAACCAACCCACAGTAGTATTCCCGAAGTCATATAGAACCATTATTACATTAAACTCAATTCTCTTTTTTTAAAAAAAGATTTTATTTATTTATTTATTTATTTATTTATTTATTTATTTATTTATTTATTTATTTGAGAGAGAGAGCGAGCAGGAGCGGGGGAGGAGAGGCAGAGGGAGAGGGAGAAGCAGACTCCCTGCTGAACGGGGAGCCCATCCCAGGACCCTGAGATCATGACCTGACCCGAAGGCAGATGCTCAAACGACTGAGCCGCCCAGATGCCCCCAATTCTCTTGTAATATGTTATAGCCACAGCATTTTATCTTAGTCCAGTAGCAGTATATTCTTTTTTAAAGAGAGAATTTCTAAAAAGTTGAAATCTTACTCATGAAATCTTACTCTTTTTTTAAAAAAAGATTTCTTTATTTGAGAGACAGAGAGAGAGAGCGTGGAGGGGGGCAGGGAGAGAGAGGGAGAGAAACTTAAGCAGGCTCCACACCCAGCACAGAGCCTGATGCGGGGCTCAATCTTCCGACCCTGAGATCAGGACCTGAGCCAAATCAAGAGTTGGATGCTTAACCGACTGAGCCAACCAGGCACCCCCGAATTTTATTCTTTTTATTGTAAATAGTGTGGCCCTCAATTTTCTAAATCCATATTGCTTGTATTTCTTATTTATTTCTCTAACATTCCTTATTTTCCCTATTTTATAATCATCTGGTTTCTTGCCTGTGTCTTTCACTAAAATGTGAGTTCTGCTAGAGCAAAAGAAGAGTAGATTGTGAGAACTGGGAAAATCTCAGAAGTCAGTTTTAATCCTTGCATTTTGCAGAAATGAAATGGAGGCTCTGAGAAATGAAGTGACTTGACCAAACCCACTTGTAATTAACAGAAGAGCTGACATAAGAACCGCAGTGTCCCTCCTTCCTCCGTAATGTTTTTTTGTCTTTACTTCACTGCACCCATTGAAACCATCATTTTTGCCCTTTGGATAATCTGCCAGCAACAGATATTGGTCTGGTATTACAGTCATGCAGTATTAAGTGTACACTCACATCTGATTCCTCAACCTGGAAGTCAGAATAAAAGAAATGGGTCTGACACAGATCTACAGTTAATATAGAAATAAAACATACCTTGCTAATGGAACTTGGTAGAAAAACAAGCTATAAACGTCCTAATATGTAAATAAGGAATTGATTTTTGATGAAGTTTAAGTATATTCTCCACTTGCTTACATACTGTTTTCACATTCATTTTGTCTGACACTTCCCTTGGAGCGTGAAGCAAGCAGTTAGAATCATGTGAAAAATTGCAATTTTGGTTGGCTGCCATTCTTGGCAAATACATGTCATCTTGGAGATTGTCATACCAATTCCCCAAGAATGGAGTTTTAATAATCAGGACCAAAGTTGCCACACATTATTTTATTTTTAGAGCAATTCTTCAACTTCTTATAAATAGTCTGTTTGGAAGACAAGGCATTGACCAGATGAAGTGGAGGTAAGGAGAGGAATGTGCCAGAAAAGAGAAAGGAAGGAAAAGAGGGAAGGAAGAAGTTTGAGGACCATGCAGAGAAGCAAAGTTTGTTATGTGATGAAGTATTTGCATGTATAATTTCCTTTTCTTCAACGTCTCATATTTATTACAGAAATTGCTTTAGTTGAGAAAAAAGGGAGAAGGATAGCTGTCAGGACCTGTGCTTTTAAGTCTCCTGTCTGCTCATAGAAGTTGAAGTGCACAGTCAGCTCCCCCTACCCTTGGAGCCATCAGGGAAGAGCAGGTGAAGCATGTGAGGACCCAGGAGGCATCTAGAGAAGGGGAAGGAGAGGATAGTGCTTTCTCCTACTCTCGCCAGGGCAAGCTGCCGGCTGTAGTCAGCATCTTCCCTTGTTCTACTAAGGACAAAGCCTGTTCTGTTGTGGGATCTCTCCCGGCAGCAGCTGTAGCTTCCAAAAAACCAAAACCAAAACAAACCCAACATCAGACTTGTGTTTTCATTTTCTCTTCTTTCATTTTCTTATTAACTATGCCTAAGGGTGACATACATGTTAGTAACTATTGTGGTGCTATATTTGCTTCAGATATTGAGCATTAAAACCGTACACCTCCTCTAACTCCATTTCATTAAATAGGTTCTTTTTCTGCTACATGCTTACTAATTAGAGCATGTCCTCTAGGGTTGCAGTATCTATGGACTCCAAACAATGGAAAAAGTAATAGTATTAGTTTGGGGAAATAGTTGCCTATCATGATTAAATAATGCTTCATTTTAAGAACATCATTCCTTTTCATGGATTTATTATTTTTTCCGGAGTGTGTGTATCGTAAATATGTATGTATTAATATTCCTGGGATTCTTTAATCTCAAAATAAGAGAAAAGCATTTTTTTAAAATAAATAAAACATAAAGCATAAAGTATATATGCTGCAGATAGGCAGAATGACATAGTCATGTACAGAAAATTCTGTAAATCTCAGAATATGGCCTTTTAAAACTCTGACCTCAAAACTGACATTTATAGACTCCCACACTAGGTCAGAGAGTGTTTCTGATTACTAAAGCTGATTTATGATCTGTAAACTCCAGTGCATACATTACGTATTTTGATATATGTTGCATAATTTATGGCATATTTACCATAAATTATGCAACATATATCAAAACATGACAAGAAGGCATTGCAGGCTATTTAGAAAGACAAAGCTGCCAGAAAGCAACACAGCAAGTTTAACTGATGACATGAAGTGAACAACTATGGGAAGGAAACTGCATTCTTCATACATTTTATAAGTATATTACTATTTTGGTCATTTTACATTTTAAAAATGTTTGATAATTGAAGCAATATTTTTCTTTGAAATGTGAGTTATGAAGGATGTAGACCCCATTTTTACCCAAGTGGAGATCCAGTGCAGATTATATGTTTTGAGATCATAGTGGATGTTTCCCAATTCTACAACAGCGGCACAGGAAAACAAGGATTCCTAACTGGGCTGGAGATTTTCATCCTCTTTTCCTTCAACTTGAAGGGGTACGGCTTTACCCAGAAAGGGAGATATTGGAGGAAGGAAGGAACAAAAGGAGAAGGAAAATAGAAAAGCCAAAAGGGGCAGAAGGGACCAGGAAGGTCAGAGCTGGAAAAAAGAGATAGAAAAGGAGGGATGGAGAAAGGAAGCAGAAGACTGAGAAGGGAAAGAGGAGAAGGAAAGGTACATGGGAGAAGATGGTGCCTCTCCCCTCCTGCCTCCTCCCAGAAAGGATGTCTTGTTCTGTTCCTCTACCCCGGGAAGGTGTTCCTGTGACTCCTACTGGGGGAATCATTCCAATCTAGTAGAATGAATGGGCCATGGAAATAAAATTGGACCCGTCGTTGATTCCCAGGGGTCATAGTGAAATGAGCTTTTACTTTTTTACTTTTAAAAGCAAAGTAGAGTTTTATTAAAAAGCAATCTTCTGGGGCGCCTGGGTGGCTCAGTCGGCTAAGCATCTGCCTCCAGCTCAGGTCATGATCCCAGGGTCCGGGGATCGAGCCCCACATCAGGCTCCCTGCTCAGTGGGAAGCCTGTTTCTCCCTCTTCTCCCAGCTTGTGCTCTCTCCTGCTATCTCTGTCACTATCTCTCTCTCAAATAAATAAATAAAATCTTAAAAAAAAAAGCAATCTTCTTTCTGTTATCTTTTCAAATAAGAACAACAAAGGGGCGCCTGGGTGGCTCAGTCATTAAGCGTCTGCCTTCGGCTCAGGTCATGATCCCAGGGTCCTGGGATCGAGCCCCACATTGGGCTTCCTGCTCAGTGGGAAGCCTACTTCTCCCTCTCCAACTCCCCCTGCTTGTGTTCCCTCTCTTGCTGTGTCTCTATCAAATAAATAAATAAAATCTTAAAAAAAATAAGAACAACAAATATATTTAGATTCAGAGATTTTAGAGCAAAAATTTTCATATTTTTAGAGCTGAATTTTATATCTCATGCTCCATATTTTGCAAAGTCATATTTACTTTAGGCATAGCCCTAAGATCAAATCAGAACGAATATTAGAAAACTGTGTTTCAGAATGACAACGCATTTGGCAAGACCTGGCAAATGGCCTATTATTTTTTAAGTAGTATTTGATACACACAGCTGAAGAGTGAAATAAAAGACTATGGAGTTTCAAGTGACCTTTCACCCACACTGAAGTATCTGTAATTGTAAATGGTAATTTACTGATAGTGAGCAGTCGGAAACACGGAAAGTAAAATTCTAGGATCTTAAAATAAATAATGTCTGACAAGACGACAGTCTGATCTGCTTTACAGTTTGCATTTGCACATACCTGCTAATATTATCCTGCTCTGCAACATCATCATATACCTCCTGGTCATCTTCAATAGCTCTTGATGAAAGAGCACTGAGAGATGTTTTCTTTCGTTTCAGAGAATCATAGTCAATCGCGACAGCAGTTGTTCTAATATAGCCATCTACCAACAGGAGGAATGATTTATGGTCAGATAACTGTAGTTTCAATATCTCAAAGTTTTAAATAAAATATCAATTGCAATTTGCTCTTTAAAATTTTCCTACATTTCTTTGCATGCATTTCTGATTTATAGACTTCCAACGTAGACACATTTGACTGGACTTCGTCGAAGTCTTAGGCCGTCGTGGTTTGCAGTAAGCTTAGAGTCCACTTCAAGGATTCCAAAGTGATTTACATGATTCATCCCCCCCACCAACCCCGTTTAACATCAATGAGGAAACTAACGTCCTTTGTTCCTCCCTGGAATAATATAAATATTTACATTGCTCCCCACTAAAACAATAATGCAGATGAGGTAAAGATGGAGCCATCCTTGTCATTTTAAATTTTCCTATTTTTGTCCTCTCTGTTAACTACTCCTAACTTAAGAGAATTTGCATATTTAATATTGTCTTTAAAAAAAACCCCAACACTTCGAAGTTGTAGGAAAATTTGCACTCACATGACCCCTTTGCCGTTCTGCCCAGCCATTTTCCTTCAGGGTTGTCTGTGATGCGGATTATTTCAATTTGCTCTCCTTGCTTGAAGCTCAGTTCATTCTTTCCTCCTTTGACATCACAGCAAGCTTTTGCCTGATGGATGACTTGAATAGGGCCTGTGAGCTGCAAAGAGGGCCAATAATCACAACAGGCTTTCTTACTATTCAGAAAATCTTTTAGGAACCGAGTTTTGAAAGACGATAGGTCCATGACCTGCCAACCAGCCTATTTACAACATTTATGGGTTTGAGCTGGAAACTGGGGATGAATGTCATGCACAATGCGTGTTCTTCTAAGAGGGGTGAGGGGAAAATCCGAGGTGAGGCAGGACAACAAGGAACAGGTAAGCATGTGCTTGGGGTCCAAGAGAGAGTAGCAGTGATCTGTTGACCTTAGAAGCCTGTGAAAGGCTTGCAGAGGAAGCCACTAATAACTGAATACCGCTTATGTACGACAATACATGCTGGGTGCTATGGTTTTTACGGGATATGCTGGTGGTCCGCTTGGTAGGTGGAAGTTTTTTTCCATCTTTGAATTGTATGGTTATTCTGAATGTGCTCTTCAGACTTCGAACAACAAAGGGGAGGTAAGGAGGTGGTGGTGGGTTGTACTTGTGGGAAAAGCATTTTCTTTGTTTTTTTCCCAACTTTATGGTGTTGTCTATCTGTAAACTCAGAGTAGACATTACCTGCTATAAGCAAGATAACATTTTATTTTATTTTATTTTATTTTTAAAGATTTTATTTATTTATTTGACACAGTGAGAGAGACAGCTAGAGAGGGAACACAAGCAGGGGGAGTGGGAGAGGGAGAAGCAGGCTCCTGGCTGAGCAGGGAGCCTGATGCGGGGCTCGATCCCAGGACCCTGGGATCATGACCTGAACTGAAGGCAGACACTTAAATGACTGAGCCCAGGCGCCCCAAGATAACATTTTAGAAATAGCTTTGTAAATAAAAAAAATAGCGAACAAATGGTATGCGAGGTTTTGAAAATAAATATCCTGGACAGTACAGTGGTTTCTTCACAGCAGGAGAATATAGAACTCCCCCCTTATCTGTGGTTACATTTTCTGGGGTTTTAGCTACCTGTGGTCAACTGCGGTCTAGAAACAGATGATTCTCCTTCTGACCTATTGTCAGATCAATAGTAGCCTAATTCTGTGTCACAAAACCTAAGTCATTCACCTCATTTCATCTCATCATGTAGGAATTTTATCATCTCACATTATCATAAGATGGGTGAGTGCACTACAATAAGATATTTTGAGAGTGACAGACCACATTCAATAACTTTTATTATAATATAGTGCTACAATTGTTCTATTTTATTATTAGTTATTGTTAGTCTCTTACTGTGCCTAACTTATAAATTAAACTTGATCATAGGTATATATGTAAAGGAAAAAACAGTGTATATATAGCGTTCGGTATTATCCATGTTTTCAGGCATCCACTGGGGGTCTGGGAATGTATCACCTGTGAGTAAGAGGAACTGCTGTAATCTAGTTGAGAACATGAATCCTGAACTCCTAATTGCCTAATCCTAAATTTGTATCTTTTTCAACATAATTTCTTGGATCTTTTGATATGCAAATATGCATTGTGATTTTTGAAGTTCATTTTATTGAACTCATGATGTTGTGAATTGTGACATATCATCAATTATGTACCACTAAGAGAGAAACAGCTTAATTTAAATTATGATATGCCAATGATGTTAAGATGCATCTGACTTTCAGAATTTGAAAATGTGAAATGTTTTATGTCATAGATTTAATGAAATATGGTGCTATTGTAAGGTCTCACATTTATTTAATTTCTTTAATTGTAACATCTTTTAACATTTTTGTAGAGGGAATATAGCTTGTGAAGTCCTAGTCTTTACAAACTTTGAGTTCATATTTAGTGGTAAGATTTCCATACCCTATTTTTTTCTTACTAAAAAATACTATTTGAATGAAAGAATGAAACAATGCAAAATTGATTCCTCCAAAAGAAACACAGAAAAAAACTTCACCTAATTCCCTCAAAATTATAAAGTCCCTTCATAAAATGTGTTATGAAAACTTTTGTTTAAGAAATTAATTTTTCATATTTGCCACTTGAAAAATATGAACATTGGTACCCATACATCTGTATGAGTAAAATGTCTTAATAGTCATGCTTTAATCTTAATTTTACTTATATATATACTTATATATATATATAAGCTTATACTCTCTCTCTATATTATATAGTAAGCTTTTTCAAAATTTAACGAGAACCTTAGCAGATATAGTGTCTTATGTACATTATTTTAATTAATTCCACAACAAACTTTCAGGAGAGGTATCATTTATTCTCACTTTAGAGAACAAAAACCAAAAAAGAAAAAAAAGAATAAGAATCTGAGGTTTAGAGAAGTTTAATAATATGCCCACAATCACATAACTCATATGGGCAGTTGGAATTTAAATCCACGTCTGTCCAATTGACTCAAAGCTTTATGTTTTTTCCAGCATCATGCTGTTGAAACTTTGTTTTAGTACAATAACTATACTGGGGAGTTATATAGAAATCAAATTTTTATTACTCAAACCATATATTAAATGTTCCAGAGGAATTAAATGTTTAAAGGAATCTTGACATGAATCCTTTTTATAGTGAAGAATAGTTCTGTAATTCATATAATCACCTTGAATATAGCTAACACACCAGACCTGTGCCAGATGTCATCAAAGATGGTGTAATCAAGAAAGGCTAGCCTGCATTGGGGGTAGTAATAGGAGTCATACAGTTAGAAGTCAGAGATCAGAGAAGAGAGAGGTCAGAAATCCAGGTGGAAAAAGAGGGATGAGAAAGAGTGGGTTTCAGAAGTCAACATGTACATAAGCTAAAAATAAAGGCAAAAATATGTCAGGTCTAGACAACAGCAGTTAGAGTAGTTCATAGCAGCTTTATTCTGAGACAGGTCTGGGTCATCCAGAGACATTTGTGTCCCTTGCACCATTGTGATACATGCCACAGGGATATCTGTGTGTGTGCTCTAAGCTCATAGTATAAGCCGGTTAAGATCAGATGTGAAATGATGAGAGACAAGATGGGTTTGAGCAACTGAGTATTCATTCACTCAGTCACCATAAAATTTCCTAGGGGCTCACTAATTCTAAGCTGCCATATTTTATTTGGACTTTATCATATTACATTTTTAGTGCAGGGATAAGGTAGTTTATTGGGCAAAATAATTACTGTTATGAAGGTAGTTACTTTTTTAGGAAATAACAATTAACTAATTCTCCCACCATGTAAGTTTTCAAGAATGGTGCCCCTTTTGTGTGAAAGTTATAAAAAGAGATCATTCTTTTTTTTTTTTTTACCCATCAGTAAGCAAGCTCTTACTTTAAATTTCTTCTTTATTTCTTGTTCTTTCTTTTCTCGCTCTTTCTGTTCCTTTTTCTCCAACTCTAATCTCTTCTTTTCCTCCTTTTCCTTTTTTTTCTCTCTTTCTTTGGATGCTTCTCTGTGGATACAAATTGTTAGGTTGTTTGGGCATTTGCAAGCATTGATGTGTTACAGCTCACATATTCAGAGGTTTCTACCCACAACAGAAAACAGTATCTGACTGTAGAGATGAAGGTAAAAAACGAAGGGTTGTCAAAATTCCTGGGTGTGTGAGATTGTTCTTAAATCCAGTAGGAGGCATACAAATGAGGATACTTTCCAAAGGCTCTGCTTCCCCTCACAACCTGTGCTAGCCAGTGGGAGACAGTGCTTATCAAGGCCCTGTTCTTGCTGCATATTGGCATGAATACAATCTTTCTCTCTCTCTTGCATGCACTCACAGGTACAGGGCATGAACATGAACATACATGCAAACCTTAGCTCAAAAACTGTCGTCAGAATTGGTTGTACAAAAAGCAGGTAGAGAAAATTAAGATATTTGAATCAAAAAAAGAAAAAATAAATTAACACGTATTTCTCCTTTCCCTCACTTTCCAAGAAATTTGTTAGTCCTGGCCTATCCAGAAACCCATTTTGGAGCTATTTTTAACATCTTTCTGCCTTAGCAGGTTGAAACTTTGCCATCTGGTGCTGTGGTAAATCATTTCTCACAGTACCCTTGTGAGGGGAATCACTGTCTAGGTGGGGAACTTGTAACATAAAGATAAATTCATTTGCCCAGGGACACAATGAGAACAAGAAGTCCAGATTCCTGGCTCAGTGATTCCCGGCCGCAGTAGCTGTGGGTCGCTGGCCTCTCACAGAAGAACATTTTTAAGAGTCCTCCATAAAATTCTTAGACAAATAAAGAAAGAATCTTTGGTCCTTTGTATTGAAATAAAGGTTATCATTATATGTCAGTCATTTGAACAATAAAGCTTTTCCCCCTTAGTGTTGAATATCCATCCATTCTCCCTCATAGAAATCATAATATTCATTTTAGAGGGATGAAATCATGGTAAAAAAAAAATGGAGCTCATACATGTCTTCATATGTTTCTCCTTCACTGTCTTGTTCCTGTCAAGGAAAACATTAATAATAATTAATATTAATTACTCAAAAAGGAAACATACACATATTACTTGATCAAATACCTAGTAAAACAAGCATAAATTTAAGTGTATGTAAACTTGTCTTGTTTAAAATATTTTTTTTTTCTTTCAAGAGATAGACTGGAAGAGTAAGCACAAAAAGATCTTTTTTTATATTCTGCTATGTAATTCAGATGTCTAGCCAGACTCAAGTTTATGTGCAGTGCTACAAAATTCCTGTGAGTCAGTTTAATGACTGGTGTTTAATGTCTCAAACATTTTAGATGAAGTAATATTATAAATGAAAAAATATCATTATTACTCATAAAGGTTTTCATTTGTTGGTTTATGTCAATAGAACATGAATCACAGTAATTGTTAAATATTTAGTTAAGCTGTATAATATCAGAAGGGGAAAAAAAAACTGACCTCATCTGGATTTCCAGGACCTAAAGCATTTTAAAAAAAGAGTAAAATTAATATATTTTAATTAGAAAGCACTTTAGTACAGAATTATTAGACATAATATATTCAAAACAGTTCATAATGTAACAGAACTTACGCTTTATCAAAGATATATAAATACAAAATAGAATATGTGGCTTAGATCTTTACTATGGCCTTTTCAGTACTTGTACTTTAACTGTAAGATCATCTCACTGGCTTTCATAAAATAATGCAAAGGCCAAAAAATAATGAAGACTTTTTATCCTCTTTATGAAAGGCATGCACATTTGGTTTTATGGGCTTGTGTGGAACAAAGGTATTATCAGAAAATCACAACAAGTTTGCACTTTTTGACTTATTTGTTCCCAACGATTTGGATTTATATATCAAGCAAATCAAGTTAATTAGGTTTTTTAAAAAAAGATACTTTACTGGGGCATCTGGGTAGCTCAGTTGATTAAGCGGCTTACTCTTGGTTTCGGCTCAGGTCGTGATCTCAGGATCGTGAGATTGAGCCCCGCATTGGGCTCCAAGCTAGGCATGGACCCTGCTTAAGATTCTCTCTCTCTTTCTCCCTCTGTCCCTCCCCCCGGCTCACTCTCTTTCTCTCTCTCTAAAGGAAAAAGATTCTTTGCCAGTTCATATCCTTTGACCACTTTTGTCTTGGAGTTGATATCTTTTTCTGGTTGACTTGCAAGAGTTCCTATGTTTTTCAGATATTAATCCCATGTCAGTTGCAGTTCAAGTGTTTAGGGATATCAACTAATTATTAGATATTAAGACATAATCTAGAGTAATAATAATAAAAACAATGTGGCGTTGGTATAGAAACACATAGACCAGGGGCGCCTGGGTGGCTCAGATGGTTAAGCGTCTGCCTTCGGCTCAGGTCATGATCTCAGGGCCCTGGGATCGAGTCCTGCATCAGGCTCCCTGCTCCTTGGGAGCCTGCTTCTCCCTCTGCCTCTCTCTCTCTCTCTCTGTCTCTCATGAATAAATAAATAAAATCTTAAAAAAAAAAAAAGAAACACATAGACCAGTAGAATAGAGCAGAGAGCTCAGAGACAGATGAATAAATTTATATACACTCTTATAGACACAGTTATTACACACACAAACACACACATATACATACATAGACACACAGCTATACAGTTGATGTAGTATAAAGATGGCATTATAAAAGATTGAGAGAATGATGGATTTCAAAGTATGGTAATGGGAAAACTGGTTCCACAAATGAGGCAGTAAATCTGGGTTTCTGCTAACTCCTCAAAGGTGGACTGCGAAGACATCAAAGACTCAGATATTAGGGATGAAGTTCATAGAAGAAAATAGGAGATCATATTTCTATTTTTTAGGGATAGGACTTCTTAACTAAAACTTTAAAACACAAGTTACAATGTGATAATTAATTTGATTATATCAAAATTCATTTATGTTCAGTGAAAGACAGCTTGGGTGAGAGAAGATAGTTGCAGTGTCTAAAGTATCAAAAGATATTTGAATCGAAAAAAGAAAAAATAAATTAACATTTATTTCTCCTTTCCCTCACTTTCCAAGACATTTGTTAGTCTGGCCTATCCAGAAACCCATTTTGGAGCTATTTTTAACATCTTTGCACTGGCAAGTTACAGAAGAGGAAACCACAAAAGCTAATACACAAACCAAGTACTCAGACCCAATAGAAGCAGAAATATGAAAATGAAGTGAGATATCATTTTATACATATAAGACTTGAAATTGGAAAGCTGAATAATACCAGACATTGGTGAAAGGTAAGCATCTTGGAATTTTCATGCCCTGCTGATGGGAGTACACACAGATGCAGCTTTCTTGGAGAGCACTCTAGTCCTAATCAGTCAAAATGAATATTCCATAGCTTATGAACAGCCATTCCACTACTGGATATATATTTTAAAGAAAGTCTCTCAGAGGTCCACATGGGAATATGGACAAGAACATACACTGAATTATTATTTGTAAGTATCAGTGAATTGGAAGTAAAATGCAAATGCATAGGATACATACCATGGGGTATTGTGCAGTAGTTAACAAATTAAATATACATATAGCAACATGTGTGGGCCCCCTAAAACACATTATGCTGAGTGTAAAAAAGAAAAGAGTAGAGTGAGCTATAACATAATGTTTATGTAAATTGAAATATATACACACATATAAGAGTATGCAAAGAATATGTACAAACAGACACAAACACATTAAATATATTAGAATATTTGTCTCTGGTTGGAAACAGAGAGAAGGGAATGGGTCATGGAGGTAAAAGGGAATACATACATAAGTAAAACAAGAGAGGGGTCTTGCATGGACCAATGATGACAATGACCCAATAGTGACCCTATCAGAATGATTAACTCAAATTTCTGTATCTGAGGTAACAAACACATAAATAAAACATCTTTTTGCCCCTTACCATCAGAGAGCATCATACCATCTTGACTTTCTTCATTTACAGGGCTTCTAAAAACAAGAAAGAAGAGAAAGTAAAAATGGAGCAAATAGATGCTCACCTTACAATGAAAAATGAAAAAGAATAAAAGGATCATTTTTAAATTATTCTTTTTTCTTTAATTTCTGCTCTGATTTAAAACATCAGAAGTTATTAGAATGGGCTTTAGCCTCATATTTATGCTGCTGTGGAGGCAAAAACATGGAGAATCAGGGACCTTGAAGACAGTTCTGTGTATTCATAGTGGACATGTAAAATTAATCCATTGCTTCAGGGCAGTAATATGTTTTCTGTGAAAATCGCAGTATATCAATACTTCAATTCTGGGATTCTGAAGGTATTTGTTTGTTTTTATCATATAGATACCAAAGAGAATTAGTTCTAAACCTTGACTCCTTCTTTCCAGATGTTTTCCACCTGGCTTTACTTCTGTCATTTGTGGCTTGGACTCCAAGGTGCTTCAATCCAAACCACTTTACTCCAACTGCTCTTAACAGTTATCAATACCTGGGCCCCACAAATCCCTAATGATTTATGCAACCATCTAGATTTTCTATTTTTCTCCTCAGGTTGATTAACATAGCTGGAGAAAATTGCTATTTCACTGATTCTTGATATTACAAATGGCATTCAGTCTCAATGTTACCCTCAGCACTATTCTATAATAGTGTTCTATAATATACTCATATACCTTTTCCTAGTGAATCTTTTCTCCCATCATCCTTCTCAATGGCTATTCAAAACCTTCACTACTTTCTGCAAATCTCTTGTCCCTCTCCTCTCCCCTATAATCATATGATCTTGTTTCTTATTTCACTGATAAAATAGCAGTTATTGGATGTGAACTCTCTTAAGAAAATATATTCCTGGGTGCCTGGGTGGCTCAGTTGGTTAAGCGACTGCCTTCCGCTCAGGTCATGATCCTGGAGTCCCTGGATCGAGTACCACATCGGGGTCCCTGCTCGGCAGGGAGTCTGCTTCTCCCTCTGACCCTCCCCCTCTCATGTGCTTGCTCTCTCTCTCAAATAAATAAATAAAAATCTTAAAAAAAAAAAAAAGAAAATATATTCCTTTAACCCAAACTTATCCTTACCTTCTGTCAAATTTCCTTCCACCTGTGTTCTGAATTCTATCTAAATTATCAGCGTTTTACCCCCTTTCTCTTCTCTGTTCTGTGTGTCATCATATTATTTATATTATTATTATTCCCCTTCTTTCACTCCCCATTCCTAAATATCTCATAACTTGTGTTCTCCCTTAGCCCAAGTTACTCTCATTCATAAAAGCCAAATTCTTCTCTTTACCTTTCTAAATCCTCCACATTACCACAGATAGTCCTCCTTTTCCCAGCCAAAGTGGAGAAGGCTGTCTGTGCTCACAGACTTGACTTCTTTTCCTCTTGCTCAATTCTTCATGACTACACTCTGGCTTCTATTGCCAATCCTTTGCTGAAACCACTCTTACAGGACTTACTTACCAAATCCACTGGACACCTCTCAGCCTGCATTATTGTGTGATTGTTTTGTGGCCCTTAACAGTATTGGCCAGTTTGCCTTCCTAGAGTCTTCTTTGTTTCTGTAAGAAATCTCTCCTGGCTCATTTCTTGTCTTTGTGACCACCATCCTACAATTTCCTTGGTGGGCTTATTTCCCTTTCACTTCCCCTTTAAGTGATGATGTTCCTTTGTGTTTTGGTCTTGGCTTCCTTTCTTTTCCCACTCTACATCTGTCCCTGAAAGGTCTCATATATGCCTACAGCTTTATTTGTTCTCTTAGTGTTGGTGACTTCCATTGATATCTCCAGTGCAGGCCTCTCTTCTGAGTTTCAGACTCATATATACACATCTTTACTTGAATGTCCCACAGCCAGTTCTATATTAACATTGCAGAAACTGAGGCTGCCTTCTTTTATCCCAGCATAAACTTGTTTTTCCTACTAAGTTTCTTATCTTAGTGAATGGGACTGAAGTTCCACATATCCACCTAAGCCTCAAAATCATCCTTGTTTCTCACTCTTCTTCAGTTCCATATCAAATTAATCATGTTCTGTCAGTTCCATATATTTAATGTCTCCTATAATTCACTTCCTCCCTCCATCTCTTTCCACTTTCCTGCTAGACACAAGGACAGAATTATATCATCACTAGCATGGACTCTTGCAGTAGCCATCTGTCTCATCTTCTAGTGATGAGCATTGCTCTTCATCTTCTCCACCCTTACAGTCCCTTTTCCATATTGCTGCTAAAATGATCTCTCTAATGCAAAATACGATTATATCACTCTCATGTTCATTACTCAAGCCACTTAAAGAATTAGGAAAGAGTGTTACTTAAACCCAACAGATGCTGGTTGCAAAACTAACCCCACTTGAAGAATGTGGGCCGGAAGTGCCTTGCTATCCCTTAGACCAAAAAACAAGCTCAGGGTACACTTGTGGCTCAGGAAGAACTGCCATAGACATACATGTTTCAGTCTCCAGCTGGGATGGGTTCTTTGATTGTGTCAATGTTGAGTGTCAATGGCTGCTCACATCAAAAAAGGAGTCAACCTGACATTACAGACTTCTGATAAAAGAATACACCACCATCTAAGAAGTAGTCTTACCAAAAAAACTAGAATTAAATTTGGTTAAGTCACCTCTACCTGCAACTACCAACTTACTGGAAATACAGAGGAGAGAGGAACATGAAAGATATCCTCTACGGAAGCACTCAGCAACATCTAGACTGTGGTTAACTATAATGCCCACAAACAACTTGATTTCTTCAACAAAAAATTGTAATAAATAAATAAAGGGATAGAGGGTAGACTTACAGCTCGAAAGAGAATTGCAAATGTATAAGTCAATGAAAATGTGTAGACTTTATATGGATTCTTATTCAAAAAACTTAAAAAGAGACAATTGGAAATTTGAACATGGACTTGATTTTTATATTAATATATAGAGCCTAATTTTTAGGGATACTTACTAAAATATTCATGAATAGAATTATATGTATTTGGTGTTAGTTTCAAAATAATATGAAAGAGGGAAGTGAGTGGGGGTATTGATGAAACAAGATTGGTGATGAATTTATAATTGTTGAAGTTGGTGCAGGGGACATGGAGGCTCATTATACTATTCTCTCTGCCTTCTATTTTTATTTATTTATTTATTTATTTATTTTAAAGATTTTATTTATTTATTCATGAGAGACAGCAAGAGAGAGAGGCAGAGGGAGAAGCAGGCTCCCATGGAGCAAGGAGCCCGATGCGGAACTTGATCCCAGGATGCTGGGATCACGACCTGAGCCGAAGGCGGACGCTTAACCATCTGAGCCACCCAGGCACCCTATTCTCTCTGCCTTTTATAAAATTTTTCAAAATAAATATGCTTCTTAGAAGGTATAAGAAAAATCTCATTGCAAATACAATTAGAATATTTAAGAGAACTAGACATGCTTTGATAGATTTATAAGAGTCATTTAAGTTTTGGGGAAGATTTTACTTAGTGCAGTTATTAAATTTGTTCAGTTAGGTTTTTGAAATGCTTAAAAAGTTCAATATATAGATTTATCCATGCAACGTAAAACATATAAGGGGGTAATTAAAACTAAATTTTTAAATGTAACTATCCATTTGAAAGAATTTAACCTAAGTTGTCCAATCATTAGTCAAAGATCCCACTGACAACTATTCTTATTTAAATAAAAATTACTAGATGTATAAATAAGATAGAAAGTTATGGGAATTTAAGTACTTAAAATAAATTATTAACTTTGCATTATTAACTTTAATGAATTGAGTATTAATTAAAAGCACAAGATGTAAATACCTTAGATGTCAAAAAAACCTGACATCCTACAGAATAAAATCTACAGCCTGTTTCATGATATACAAGGTTCTTATGACCAATCCTGTTCTTTTTTTTTTTTTTAAATTTTATTTATTTATTTGTCAGAGAGAGAGAGAGGGAGGGAGGGAAAGAGAGAGGGAGAGAGAGCACACAAGCAGGGGGAGTGGCAGGCAGAAGTAGAAGCAGGCTCCTCATTGAGCAAGAAGCCCGATGCGGGACTCAATCTCAGGACCCTGGGATCAAGACCTGAGCCGAAGGCAGACGCTTAACTGACTGAGCCACCCAGGTGTCCCTCAGTCCTGTTCTTTTACAGTTTTATTTTTCATATATCCTCTTATATCATCTTTTTTTTCACATATTAATATTGACTCACTCTCTGAACACTCTGTTTCTTGTTCCTCTGTTCTTAGCTCACTCTGTTTTCTTTCCTAGAATAATCTTTCTCTTTATCATCCCCTGTTTGTGGCCCTTCTTAATCTTTTAGCCTCTCCTGAAACACTCCTTTCTCTGTGAAGTCATCTCCAACGCCCTAGGCCCACGCAGTTGCTGCTTCTATGTGTCATACATTGCTCTATTATAGTGATTATTCTGTATCACTATAATTATAGAGTAATTACTTGCATGGCTCTCTTTCTACTACGAGACTGTAAGAGACTGTCACTTTGTTAGTTAATTTATTATTATGACTGTCATTTTTAGAAAGCTATTAGGATAATTCCAGTCATGTATAGGACTTTGATTTTTTTTTGATGAATTAATTATGTCCCAGCAATACTAAGAAACTAAATTAATGTTTGTTATTAAAGTGACTTGTTTATGATCATTTTTGAAAAAGAGTATTAGTCAAAAAGACTACTGGACTTGCAGTTTATTTCCTAAAACACTTGAGAGAGTAACAAATAGTTGCAGAATGGAGAGTATCTGCATAGCACATTCATGCATATGTTGCTGCACGTTTATAGAAATCATTTATTACTTGTAGATAATGTTTGCATGCACACATTGATTCATGGACCCAACACAATAGCATATAAATCTTAGTTTACTTTTAGAGCTCTGAATTCACCATATATAACATGAAAATGTTCAATAAATAAGAAATCATGTAAGAATGATAGTGAAGAATAAAAGGGAAAAAGATGAGGAAGAGAAATAGGTGAGTGTCATAATAAATTGA